CATTATTGCAAATTATTATATTACAATGCTTTTAATTGTTTTTATACATTCATTTAATATATAAATTGTTATTATTATCATTACTACTAGTAGTATTTAATTACTGCGAATTAATGTAATGAGTATTTTAACTATTTTATATATAATTTATTATTATTAATATTCATATTTCATCATTGTCAATGAATATACTTTTACAAATTATATTCTATATCTATTTTATTATTTCAGTATTGCAAATTAATATAATTTATAATTAGTATTTTTATAAATTATTATATATATAATATATACAATTTGTTTGTTGTAGTTACATATAGTTATATTTAATATGCATATATAAAATGCATATTAAAATACTAATATATACTGTGTGTGTGTGTATATATATATATATATATACTGTATATATGTGTGTGTATTTTGGCAACATTTCTCATTTTTGTTTCATTTGTTTTTCATCTGATATTTTTTACTGGTTTTAGTTAACTATAACAACACTGCTGGGAACCTGTGAGCATTATGTTAATACTGTTTGCTTAGCATTATGCGTGAAAGCACAGCAGATTGTGAAGTGTAGTGTAAGTCTTTATGAATGTGAAGTGTTTCTCTCCTGTAACTGTGCGGATGGATGTTTTCTGAACAGGACAGACTGCTGCTTCAGTCCGGATGATAAACTGCTGCTGACGGGAACCTCGGTGAAGAAGGACGAAGGCAACGGGAAGCTGCTGTTCTTTGAGCGGGAATCTCTGCAGAAGGTCTATGAGATTGAAGTGGCTGATGCGGTAGGTTTGACGCACTTCTGTGTTGCTCTCATGGTGAAAATTATACATTATGCAGCGCTGTGTCGATACTAATCATGTTTCCAGATCACAAAACATGATTTGACGAAGTGCAATGCAGTATGGGACAGATTCACTCACCAGCAAATTAAGGATTTTCAGTGTTTTCAGTCATATGATTGGCTACGTTTATTTCATAAATATTTTACATATAAACAAATATATATATATATGTGTGTGTGTGTGTGTGTATGTATATATATA